GATCCCCGCGCCCAACGCTCCCCTGAGGGGCAGGGAGGTTGCCCGGGCTCGCAGGCCCGGCGGGTTGAAGCGGAGGGTGGGTCGGAGCAGGCCTGTCCGGCCGCCGGGGGGGAAGGGAGGGAGGATGAGGGGCAGCGTGGCAAAACTTGGGGATTTTGGGGTACACCTGGGAACCTATGGCTGAGGTGCCGGTGTGGGATTTCGGGAGCAGGGCGTCGCGAGTCAGGTTTCAGTCTCTCCTGAAAGCTGGTGAGGTGGTGGGGATACAACTGGTATCCCCGGTACTGCCCCTCGCTACTTTCTGAGTGTTGACTTCAGTTTTTACACCTTTTGCATCTGGAATTAACGTCTCGATGCGGTTCTTCTGAAAACCGAATTAGTCTGCAGCTCTGGCTTTGCCCTCTTTCCTTGCGCTTCGTTTTTAGAAGTTAAGTACAATTCAGCAATCAAAGGTTGAAGGCAGTATTAATCACAAAGCTAGTATACCCTCCCTGAGTACATAATTACTATCTAGAGAGGTGTGTGCTCAACGATTCTGAGGGTAGCTAGGAAACAAATGCTCTCAGGATTATAGTTCTGGTAATTTAGGACTGCTGCTTCTGGTTTTGATGTCTCATTATTTATAGACCGATCCCCAAGATTCAGGCTCACGTACACTCTCTGGAGAATGTCCCGTATGCTTTCACGCAGTGCAGCGAGATGGGTAATGTGCTTTCTGTGAGCAAATGGAACAGCACTTAGTAGGATTGTCTGCAACTGTGGGAGGGGAGGAGAGGGGAGGGAGTGGGCAAAAGCTATAAATGTATTTTAAAAAATGCTGTAACTTGAAATTTACCCTAATTTTAAAGAGGAGTAAAAACCACGTCTGGTACCTCCTACCCTTATGATTTCTTGCTGACTCCTGTAATTTGATGATTTATTCTGAAATCTGTTTTGAAATCTCTCTTCCTTTCCAACAAATGAGACAGAAACTGGCACGTTCCTCCTGTTCTGTCAAACAAACACGAAAATATCCTTCTCTGACACCTGAAGGTTTTGCTCACAAATGAGTAAAGGGGAAGACATCTGCTGGTTAAAAGTTAAGATCAGAAGTCCGTTTATGGACGCTGGAACCAGTATCTTAATTTTCTAAAGTATTAAGCACCCCGTAGCCATATATTAAAGCAAACGCTCTCTAATTCAATGAGAAACTTTGGAGCTGTTGTATGCCTATCCCTGTAAGATGACGTGTGAGGTTTTGCTGTGAACAAGGTTAGCAGGGGCTGTTACCTGTGTCTTAGCTCAAAGCCTTCTGGTGCGTGTGTAGTCCTGTCCACCAGCTCTTGAAGCTTGGCTTTCTTGCCCGGTTGGTGCGCAAGCCGGAGCCACGGCTCCCAGCTGTGGTCTGTGCCGCCTGGCCGTGGGCTGCCGGCAGCGTTACTGAGCTGGGAAGCTCCCAGCCTCAACAGCGCTGGTGCCCAGCAGCGGGTGACATGACGGGTTGTGAGGTGAGGAGTGTGTGCTGCGCTGTGGCCAAGCAGCGTGCCGTCAGATGGGTCCCCTTTACGCGCCTGATCCCTCCGTGCCTCTCATCAGCTGCAACAGGGTGCAGCTCCCCAGGGTGCAGGCTGCCCTGTGGTTGCTGGAACCATGGGTTCAAACCCACATATTTTACCACGTGCCTTGCAGAGCCTCTCGATGCAGTCCTATTGCCCTAGATCTGTGCAGGCAGGCCTTTTAGCTGTAGCCCTTCCCAATTCATTTATGGTGGAAATAATTTATAGGTAATGGTATGTTACATAGCTGCAGTGCTGATGCCTGAACACATGCTCATTTTCAACATCTTGGATTTTTTTAAAAGGACTAGAAGTTGATATCTTCTTTTGTTTAAAACTTATTTTAATCGGTACTTCAGATGTTCAAAAAGATAAAAAGTAAATAAATATTTAATTGAGAAGTAATTTAGCTTTTGAAAAATATACCGAAAATCAAGTTTTGGTCAGCTTCTGACATGCTTGCTATAGTGAAATAGGAAACGGATACGGAAATAGATACTGAGGATTGATGTTCTTTGCATTTTCAGTCACTTGTCTAAATCTCATATGTTTGGGATCAACATTTTCAAGAACTATTTATTTATTTTTCTGAAAGTAATGATGTGAGGATTTAGTTTTTGAAATATAACACAGCTCATTCATCTATTATCCATTAAAACCTAAAAGCATTTTTCTAATTTTAACCGAAAGGTTTCACCACCTATCCTGAACCTTGAGAAAAACATCTTGACTTTGAATTCTACTGACTTATGGAATGATCTGTTCAGGGAAATGGTAGATGATACACTAGCAAAAAAAGGGCTTTAACATAATAGCCTCCAACTGCAATTAAAAGGTGTCTACATTTATAAGATTCCTGAAAATCCTGTAAATAATCCAGTTTGGTTTTATATTTAGATGACTTTAAGCCTGCATCTATTGATATGTCCTGTGAAGGAGACCTTGAAGTTGGCAAAGGTGAACAGGTGACAATAACACTGCCAAATATTGAGGTGAGTGGGGTGGCTGAAGAGTGGCAGACCTAAGGGAACTATTTATTTTGTTGTCATACACTGAGTGTAGAAGGATAGGAAGCTTCAGAGCTGCTTGTGAGATTTTTTTTGAGTAGAGAAACAATTGCTTTAAGTATGTAAAATTACAAAAGATCTAAAGGTTAAACACCTGTGTTGTAACTTTAAGCCTATTCACTGCATTGAAAATATGCTGTAGGATGACCCAGAAGTGTTGCATACACAGAAAACCTTCATGTGGATGTTGGCAGCACGAGTCTCCCCTTGGTATTTATGGTTCTAGTGCAGTTCTAAAGCAGGAAAGACTAGAAAGGGAAAATTTACTACCTGCCATGCTTTACTGCTCTGCTGATAGGGTAACAAACCCCTTTTGGTAAAAGGAGTCCTACAAAGGGTGTGCTCTCCTTGGGAAATAAGCATCCAGTCAGTTTCAAACTAAACTAAGCTGGGTGGAATCCCATTGCAGTCAAACCTCAGCTGTTTTTGGTCGTGGCTACTGTGAACTTAATCAGAATTAACTGATAACATTTTTAAAGGCTAGAAGTGATCACTTGTAGTGAACTTGTCATCACTGTGATGGATTGCTGTTTCTAATAAAAAAAAAAAAAGCTACAGGAGTAACACTTAATGGACTTCTGATTTAACAGGGCTCAACTCCACCAGTGACTGTGTTCAAGGGCTCAAAGAAGCCTTACCTAAAAGAATGTATCTTAATTATCAACCATGACACTGGAGAATGTCGTCTAGAGAAACTTAGTAGCAACATCACTGTGAAAAAAACCAGGTGGGTGATTTACAGGAGAAACAGCTGTGCTTTACTCATTGTGAAAATTGATTTGTTAATGAGCTTAAATTGAGATACATAACCATCCATTACTATTTTTAGCAAAACATCATTTTTAGAAAGTACCTGGCCTTGTTCAGTAGAGTGAAAAGCCTGCTTTCTCAGCATGCTGACTTCACAGCTTTCAAGTCTTGACTGGTGGAAGAAATGGGAATGTTTGTTTGTTTGATTGAATTTTTTAACTTAAAACTGTCACGTTGTTGAAAGATATGGTAACTATTTTCTGATGAGTAGGGAGAAAAAAATCTGTTTGGAAAGTAGCTTGCCTGCTGTCTTCTGATTTCTAAATGAGGAAATAAAAAAAGATAAATTGTGACATGTTTCAATAATATTAATGGCTTGTTTTTCTTGTCCCAAGTTTCTGAATATTTTTTTTTTTTCTGCTGTAGAGTACATATAAGTAATTTCCAGCAGATTTAAGTGATCCTGGGTAGCCAGGTAAAAAAACAAATCAACTGACAAAGGGTTAGAAAGTTATTAGCGCTGTATTAAAAAACAATTTTTAATACATCTCTATATAATTGTATGCAGTAAATAACATTACTAAGAATCTAATGTGATGCTATTTAGAAAGGCATGACAAATAATTCCATAATTTAAGGTACTGTATTCCCTGTATTCTTGCATTTTTCCTTGCATCTTGTCTTCTAGAAGCTAAAAATCTTTTGCTTTGACACACAGAGCTGAAGGAAGCAGTAAAGTCCAGTCTCGCATAGAGCAGCAACAGCAGCAAATGAGAAATGCAACTAAGGTTCCAAACAATGTTAAAAATTCTCCATCAAAAGAAAAGATGTTTCCGTCTTCTCCTATGGATGATATTGAACGAGGTAAGCCCCACGGGCTCATAAGTTTGAGAAACTTTGCTCTTAACTAGCAATTAGTTTTTAAGAGCCAAGGTTTTTTTGTTTGTGTGGGTTTTGTTTTGTTTTTAATTTGAGATTCACACAAGAAGCTGATTATATAAGCACTTTACCCTGATATGGAAATGACCACTCTGGCTCAAGTGGTAACAAAGCAGTATTTGAAACTTGCTAAGGTAAAAACATTGGATGAACCATTCTAATGGCCTAGTAACGCCAAGGCTATCAATGCTTGTTCTCCTTTCTTCTGCTGCTACTTTAATCAAGTATATAGTAGGTTGTATTGTGGCACTGGAGACATCTGAGTCACTTCCATCTTGACATCGCTCCTCATTCTTTCTCTGCACTCAGCAAACATATAGGTTACAGTGCTTTGCAACTCAAAATACGTTTTAAGTTACCGGATAAGACCTAGTGGAAGATGAGGTTCCAGTGAAAAAGACAGATAAAAACTTGCATAAATCAACCCATGAACAGTGCTATGTACTGTATTCTTGAGAGACTCTGGTTTGGTGCAACACTCATATTTCACTTAATAGGAGGCCTTACTTCCTTTTGGAGGACAAGGAGGATGGCAGGTGGTAATTACTTGCTACAGAAACGCTGACAAGTGGCTGTTTCATTGACTGGAATTGACATCTGCCTCCCAAGATGTTCTGGATTCCTTTAAAGAGATTTTTTTTTTTTTTTTTAGTTGTATCATGAAGGTTGGGGTTTTTTTTCCCATTTTGGTCTTGAACTCTGACCAGAAATCTGTACTACAGAACAGTACTAGAATACCTCTAAGGTTGCGAAGACAAAGGAAAATTTGAGCGCACAAAATAAAACAATGCTTTTTCTTGGTGGTCTGCTTCTTTGGGGGGGAGTGGTGGTGTCGAACATTGCAAGTCACCAAAGTGGCTGCCAATATGTACCTAACTCTTGTGTTGTGTCAGTCCAATTTTGAGTACTACTAAAGAATGCAGGATAATCGACGAATAGGGATGTTAGGGACCTTTTATCTAGTCCATCCTTCTATCCTAGTGTCATATATCTGACATTATTTTTTAACCTATTCTTAAAGCCTTCAGTGACAAATCCTGTTTTCTCTCTGGCAAACCATTCCAGGGCTTTGCTCTCCTTACTGTTCAGGTTCTTCCCAATACAAAAGCTGACAGTGAACCCATTACTAATTTGATGTTTATCATGCAAGTATAGACCAGATTACTTTGCTTCTTTTGAGCAGTCCTTCATGTACTCAGAAGCTGCTATGTCTCTTCCATTTTTTTAATGTAAAATAATGCCAGCTGGTTCAATCTTTCCTTAGAAGTTAAGTTTTCTGGATCCCCAATTCGTTGTTACTCTCTTTTAGCTATCTTACAATAAGGCCAAAAGCTTCCTGAAAAGTTGTGCCTAAATACATTTACTGTTTCAGCTAAGGCTTTATCAGTGCTGAGTTGTGCAATAAGACTGTCTTACAGGCACTATTCATCTTTATACACAAAGACTAAATAGTATCATGTCCCACTGTAACTCTTGTCATTTCTGCAACAGCACGCTGCAGTAGAACTGTGTGTAGTGATCCACTGTAACTCACAGGCTCTTCAGAAGCATTGCCTATTTAATCATTCTTCATCCCACGGTTGTGTAATTGACTATTCCTGCTGAAGTATGCTACCTTGAATTTGTTACTAACTTTGTTTTCTTGGGTGGGGGAAAAAGCACTCTACCTTTGTTCTCTAGTATATGTACAGCACTTCCCTCACTGTTCGAAAATACTTAATTTAAATTGTCAGATTAAATTACATCAAAATTCAAGGCTGAGATCTTATTCCTGGTTTTGGTATGAACTGTTAGCCTTTCATTTAGAATTTTTCTTACTACACATTGGTGAGAGCATGGAGGAAGTGGAATTAAATGCATAGGACTTGAGTGGTATCTTTCAGTTAGTTTACAGTTCCAGATGTGTGGTAGATCAGTTGTTTCTTTGGCCCTTCTTTATCTTCTCTAGAATTAATTTTGAAATGACTTCTTGATCATTCTGCTAGCTACATCCTAATTTTTGCCTTGGCTTTTCTGTCATCTGTTCTTAAGCTCTTCTCTTATACATGTCCTTAGTAACAGGAGGATGCTTCCTTTTTTTTTTTTTTTTTTTTTTCTGTTCCCCTCATTTTTCCTTTCTTTCCTTATGTTTCAGTCAGCCAGTATGGTCTTTTATTATACTTTCTGTTCTTCCTTGGCACTGGGTTAGTTTGTCCTTGTATCAATAGCTGCATTACTTCAGGTGCCTTTTTTCCTGAACACCATTTTGCTTTAGACTGGGCTTTGATAAGGCAGACTCACCTAAGTACCTTTCCTTTAGAATGGCCTTTGATAACTCAGAATTGGAAGGCTTAATGGAAATTTGTGTAGAAGCTTGTTCTTTTGTTCTCCTTTCTCTTGATTAAGCTCTGAGCCATCTTGCATCTTGGCGACTTTCATCTTCAACCTGTTCTTCTATATTGGGTAAATTGGAAGTGAGATGAGCCACTCTCTCCTACTTGCTTTTTATGACTGTTATATCAAAGCTGTTCCTGAAGTATTCCAAGTCCTTGTAAGACCATCTTAACAAATGTCTGTATAGTTACGGTCTTTTATAATGATGAACTTCAGTACTCTGTGTAACTCCTTAAGTCACTGTATAAAATCTCTAGCCACCATGATTCAGTGGCCTGTTTAAGACTTTTCACTTCAGCAGCACCCCTGTTTTGCACAATTATTATATGTACTCTTTTTTGCAAAACTTAACTTCCTCTGTATGTTGGACTTCAGCTAGTATATATCAAAAATGCATATGCTGTGCAGCATGATCTATCCAGTCATACTCTCCTAAATATTACTGTAGTCAGGTGAGTTAATTTATGAAGAATGCAAGTTGGTTAGTTTGAGTCTGTTAATTTGATCAGTTAATTTTCAGTATTTCTTGTCTGCCTCAAGTTGTTCTAGCCCCCCCCCCCAAACCAAAAACAAAACACAAAACAAAAAAACAAACAAAAAACCAAACCATAAGCAAACAAAAAAACCCCAATCCAAACTATGAAGAGAACTAGGATGTGGTGAAATCTTCCTAATAGTTAACTGTGGACAGCTCATTTAGATATTCTTTATGCTTAACTTTGTTTTGAGCAAAATGTCACGTAGTCCAACCAAGTGTATTGATGTAATGCTGAACTGCTGGAAGGCATTTTGGGTGCAACTGCAGACATCTTACAGCTAACTTATCTGTGAGTTGCAGAAATTAAAGGCTATGTGGGATGCACTACCCTGTGGAATGTGGGGTTATCATCTGGGTTTACAGTCACCCTTGTTCTAACACTTGGCTTGAAAGGGAGAAAGTGCCCAATTTACAAGAGAAGAAAACCATGTGATAGGTTGGATGCTTGCTTGTGCCCTTTAACTTGTTCTGGGGAGTTTTGGGGGTTTTGGTTTTTTTCAGTTGTTATAATGCATGGACCTGACTCCTATTGTTGATTTTTCTGTTTTATTATTTTTTCCTCTCCTTATATTTCAATTATGATGAATGTTAACTGAGAAAAAAATCCTATTGTTTTCAGAGCTAAAAGCAGAAGCCAGTATCATGGACCAGCTGAGTAGCTCTGACAGTTCATCTGACTCTAAAAGTTCTTCATCCTCTTCATCTAGTAGTGAAAATAGTTCTAGTGATTCTGAAGATGAGGAAATGAAGCCCTCTCTTCCTATGTCAATGCCATATTTGCAGCCACAGCCTACTGTGTCTGCCATACCACAACAGGCTATCCCTGACAAAGATGCCAGTCAGAACAGATCCCAAGAGAGCAGTGGTCATATGATGAATACACTACGTAAGTACAAAGACTGTTCTTTTCTTAGTGCACAATTCCAGACATCAAGATTCTGAAAGGAAACCATATTGTTTTTAAGTATGTCTCTGTTATAATTAAAACTGTGGGAAGTGATGCTAGGGTATGATTGTTCAGCAGCAGTCTGAATTAGACACTGGGCTAGAAGGTTCTTGGTCCCCAGAGGTATTAAATTAAAGCTGATGCAGTTGAAAATATTCTGGCTTCCTCCCAATTATATACATTGGGCCTGGAGAACAGTAATTTTGTATTGAAAATATTTGAACGAACAGGGCATTCCCAAAACATATACTTATAATTTCTTGGGTAGAGCTATGGGAAAGATACTATACTCACAATACTCAAATTACAGAAAAGATGGTGTATTCTTAGCTACTCCAGTTACTGTTATTCATGGCACTGTTCCACTGGACAGCATGGCAAAAGCTGTCCTTTGAATATGAGGAAGGAGATAGTTTGCTTTCAGGTGATACTATCTTATTTCACCCATTCAGGCAACTAAAAATGTAATTTGAAGAGTAGCTGTGATATTCTTTGAGAAGTGGTTGCTGCACAGCCTGGAATTGAATGCTCAGTGTATTCAGAAAGGGAGAGTTTAGACAGAAAAAAAAAAAAATCCCACTAGGTAGAGAATCTTAAGTTTGCTACCTAAATAGCAGGAGTATTCAGACACAGAAGTAAATATTAAGCTATGGTGACTCTGAAAATTATTACATTTTTAATTAGGTACTTAGCTTGCAGGATCCTGGTTTGAAGAGATTCCCATCAACCCTGGTTTGCAGCCTGAGATCTCTAAGGTTTACCATTTATATGTAAACTTGTTACACTGCAATGTTAGACTCTGGCAGATCTACTTTTATTTCAGTATTTCATGGATAACATGAACAGTTGGGGGTTTTTTAGCTAGTATTTAAATACTTAATTAAATATCTGTGCTGGTTATTTATGTATTGCATTAACAGATAAGATCAGACTGAAAAGTCCTGTGACTTCATGTGCAAAGGACTAAATGCTGCTTTCATTTTACTGTCACTGTAGAGAACAATGTCTTCGTGTTTATAATTTGCGTAATTTAAGAGTATGCCGTTTATTTCAACCCTTATTCACAAATGGGATTTCCTGTTCTTCGTGCTTTAAATAAAACTGTTATGAAAATGAGATTAAGCTCTATCCCCAGTGACAGAATCCCAGCTGGCAAAGCTTCCACTGAGAAATACGCTTACAAGTACAGGTGGCCAAGTCCACCAGTTTCAACAGTCATAGTGAGAAAACGCTGCTTAAAGCATGACAACATCAAAGCTGTTACAGGGGAAGATGGTACTCAAGGACCACGTTGACAGGTGGAACTTTTGTAGCATCAAGTAGTTTGACTATCTGATCTTGCCTAGATCTTTAGCTTAATCCCATTTAGTTCTGTTATGATTAAAGATCTGTTTTACTGCCTAAAACCATTCTGTCCCCAACTTCCAGTATGGTTAACACTTAAAATACACTTCAACTATACAAAGATCAAAACAGTTACTTTCAAGGAGAATGTGTTTCTCTAGCTCCCTTGCTGAAGGAATTTGTCAGGAGAGTGAAACATGGAGAAACTAAATGGATAGCACATGGTTCTAGATTGAATGGCAAGAGTTCTCAGTCAGGGTCCTGTACAGTCGTTTCTTCCATCTCAAATAATGTTTTACAAAAATAAAATAATGAATCAACAACTGTCAGCACAAACTGTTTGCTTGTCTAATCCAGTTTTGAGATTTGATCACTTATGTGCATGACTAGTTTTGTGCACCTCTGTAGAATCGGGGCCATAGTGGGTAACTAGTGAAGATTTGCTTTGGCTTGTTGTGTGCAGGCAGAAGGCTGGGGAAGGCTTAGAGAGCTGAGTTTCATCTTGCATGTAGAAATCATACAGCAGAGGTTTTGTGGAACTTGGAAAGCACAGTAGGTAGTGTCTAGAGCATGGTAACCAAATACTTCTGTCAGTTATACATAATTTACCTCTTCAGGAATCCAGGGCTGAAGATTGCCCCTCACCCTCAAAATACTTTTTTCCCCCTTTTACCTTCAGAAACTTGCCTTATTACAAAGTTTGTAAATGGTGGCACTCATGAATCTGTTCTTCATAAATATTTGATCATATGTTGCTTTATGCCTACTTTTTGTTTAAGCAAGACTTACGTTAAATAAAGTAATTTCCCAAAGAAAAAATGGTATAGATTGGCTGTTCTGGGGCCTTGCATTCTGTATGTAGTATTAAGCACAACTTCACTTCTTTTGGTACTTGGTGCTGGTACAAGCAGCTAGTCATGAAATAATTTTCTCTTAATAGTTTGGTGTTGGTGTGACCACTAAGATCTGTGAAACACAGGTCACTCCTATGAGTTTCCCTGTCTCCTATAACTTGCCAGAATTCTATGTATTATAGTCACTGATTTAAAAGTTTAGAAAATGTTGTAATTTGCAGTGCAATCTATTTCCCCAATTAATATTGCTAATAAGCAACTGGCACAGTGAAAACTGAATTCAAGCTTTCCCCACTTTATTGCTGCCTTATCAGTACAACATTCTAGATGTTTCTTCAGAGTATTAGTTAGATGAACTTTCCATTCTTGGACCAAACCCATCTGAAAACTACCAACTCTAGTCTGCTTTATTTTGCCATCTCTCTGAAGGTGTTTTTTGGAGGTAGAGTTATAAAAACGGGGTAGAAAGTTCTCCCTAAAGTAAATCCTAATGCAGTATTTCTGACTCTGGAACTTGGAGTTCTTGCTTTTCCCATCTGCTGATTTTCACAAGCATTGGTATTTTTGGCTGGTGTTACAGGGTTTGTGCAATTTCTATTAACTATGTTGAAATAACTTTTGAAGGCTGCAGAATCACTATTTGGAAGGTTATCTTCTTGTTCGTACTCCCAGTCCTCTTCTAAAGTAGGTAGTGCATAACAGGGCTGGGATTTCTAAGAATTCACAGTAAGTTTTCCTTTGAGTGATAAATGCATGAGTTTAATTTACTAATGCCATTCTCTGCCTTGAAACATTCTTTCTTAGGGTAATATACTGTCCTGAATAATAATTATTGACAAATTACTTAATTTTGTTCTTCCAAAATTGCTTCTAAAATTTATATTAAAATGATACTGCTGTAAATGTTGTCTCCATATAGAGGATGAGAAAAAAATTTGTCTACAGTAGTACTTTAAAGATTGCTGGAAACAGCCATCTTCACTATTCTTGCCTTATATAAAGTGTTTTCTGTTTTGTTGCAGAGAATCATGTACCACTTTCTAGGCTTTAGTGATGACATAGTGGAAAACAAAGGAAGGCTAAATGCAGCCATGTTAAAGACTTCAGTGTTCTAGCAGAAATGATATGCCTGATAACAAAAGATCCAATCTGGGTGTCTTGTTGGGTTTACCCTCCTGAGGTTACTTTTTTACCCATCTGCCAAAGTGATCTGTGAAGGGTGCTGCAGCTGAGGAAAGGACATGTGAAAATAGTGTGCCTACTTTTTCTTTGCTTTTTAGGTCATTTTGGCACAACCTGAGATGCATTCCTTTTTTTTTTTTTCCCTTTTTTTAATGGCTGTTTGGCAAGGGAGGTGTGAATAAAAGCATACTAGTTGGAACAGATTCTTAAAACTGAGTGGGAAGTTGCTAGATATGATGTAGATTCTGTATAGCATGCTGCTGTATTTTTTTGTTAGTTATCTGTCATCCTGGAAAGATTCCCTCCCTCCCACCCCCTAAGCTTATGGACTTCCATTGCAAGCACAATGTAGTCCTCCTTACTTCCCCATTTTGAAATATATATAGCCACCAAATTAAAGTGCTGTGTAAAATTTCTTTTGATGTTTTGTTTGTTCACTTGTTCCAAAACCTGTTTGAAATAGTAGGTCACTGATACATCTTTAAATGGTACATCAAAGAGATGCTGCTCTTGATTGAGACACCACTCTGTTTTCAAGCACAGCTGAGCAGCATTCAGATGTGTTTCAAAAAAAACCCAACAACCAACCAACCAACAACTTGTTTTTCACAAAACTGCATTCACCAGCAGTTTTTTCCTTATGAAGCATGAAAATGTGGGTGGCAAAGATAGCTAGGTGTTGTCTTTTTTGTGATCTGGTGATATTAAGTAAATGCACTTGTGGCTAATAAGCTAATGGCTTCCTTGCCAAGATTCTAAAATTGTAGAAAAGTGACCTCTAAAGTTCTGCCACTGGGGAGTTTGGTTCTACACCTACTTATTCTCTTATCATAGAATAGTTTGGGTTAGAAGGGACCTTTAAAGATCATCTAGTCCAACCCTTCTGACCTGTTTGGTATTAGTTTTTGTAAGACTTTAATTGGGAAAGGGAATAGCTTGAAAGAAGACAAGTATTTCCTTGAAAATGACTAATACGATGACTCTCTCTTTCTTCTAGGAAATGACTTGCAGCTGAGTGAATCTGGAAGCGATAGTGATGACTGAACAAATTTTTGGCCTTAAATGTATCACCTTTTTTGCTAAATGTGTCTTAGCATCTGTTTTGCACTAAGATTAGATTACCAGAGACTGGAATGAATGTCCTCGATTTTGATAATAGACATCCTAATTTTCTACTGACACATCACATCTATAATACAGCAGCATTGATATCCTGTCAGTGCTATGGTTATGTGTTTATCTTTCAAATTACTGTATTTACAGTAAAATTGTGTATGATCTGATTTTGATTATTTTTGCCTCAGCCACCTGTTTTACTTGAAACTGATTTGTAACAGCTAGTTACTTTATATAAATAGTCATGGAATGGAGAAATTTCTGATATTTATGGAGGCAAGTTTCCTTCCTATCATTTAAATGCTGAATGCTGATCTCACAACTTTTACTTGGAGGGAGTGAAAGGGAGAACAACTAAATGAGGTCTGCTGTGTCAGCTACACTGTTTGTTCAGTTCACAGTTCATACCTTTAAGGAAACTGCTGAATAATGTGGTCCACTAGTGCAGTTACAGTTTACAATTGTTCAACACATTGCTGAATTCTTAATTTCATTGTATTATAGGACTTTATATCTCTGAGCCTCAAGATTCCTAAGGGAACTTGTCTATTCTCTGCCTTTTTTTATGTAACTTGAATAGGCTGGTCTTTTTACAACCTTTTTGTATCTGAATTTAGATAACTGCAGAGACAGCAATGAATTTCCTTCATTTAATTCTGTAACGGAAATCAGAAAATTTCTTTGTAGGAATATAAAAGTAATTTAATAAAGCAATATTTATAATTTTCATGTGTCTGATTCTATTTTTACTGGTTAAGAGTTCCACTTTCTAACTATAGTAGTCATGCCAGTGAAAGGGTCATGCAGGGAAATAGGAAGCAGTGAAACGGTAGCTAATACGGATTCCCCGCCCTGTCTGCAGGACTTAAATGTTTGTTGCTTTTGCCTATATTGAGACAAGCCCTAGTAAGAGCTCACCAAAAGTTTGTGGTGGTACTAGTGGACTGATGAATGTTTATTACAGATTATATCCAAATGCCATTGGTAAATGACACTGTGTTAGACAAAAAAAAAGGTGTTTGCCTAGTCATAGTTTTTCTTCATTTGAAATGATATTTCATGACCTGAAGAACTGCAGGTAGGATTCCAAGTTTAATCCTATAGTTTACTACTGAAGAGTTTTTAACTGGCACTAGCAAATGTCTGTGGGGTGAATTCTGACGAGAGGAATCTGCTCAGTCTTGTACAGAAGTCTCCTGTGCTAGATTGTAGTGATTGAATCGCAGCTCTGCCTAAACTGTGAGGATTGAATCCTATATGTAAGCCTGAATGTGCAGACATGAAAAAATGCACACTCAGTAAATGTATACAAATAGATGGTACTAGACTAGTTTATTCTCTCAGAAATGCTGTGAGTATCAGCCCATGCTTACCTCTAGACAGTTTAAGAGGTCAAAACCATGTCCACCCCTCACAAAGGAACCTTTACTGGTACCACCAGGCAGAAACATTGGGCTCTGTACCCCAAACTTTGGCACCAGTCCATGCTCTGCACCAGGTAACAGGTTGCCGGACTTCTGGCTTCCTAAAGTTGGTACCATAAGAAGCAAAACATTTTCTTGTTTTAGAGTTAATTAATAACCATGGGTTAACAGGTCTTTGAGAAGAAAAGGGCTAAGGAGCAACCTTGAGGAAGGATGCTATGTAATAACGCCCTGCAAGCTACTTGGAACTTTCTCAAGGAAAAGAGTGTTGAGGTTTTCTGATGGATCATAGCTGTTGGTTACAGGAATTCTAGCAGAGTACTTGGTTCTTGGCACCTGCTGCTAATAAAGTCTGCTGGGGCAATGTCAGGAGCCGAGATGTTGCAGGTAACTTTAGGACTAAGGAGCAGCCCTGTGTGCTAAACAGAAAGGGTGCATGACAATGCTGCATCCTAAGCAGAAGTGTCCTCTTTTTGCCTTTCCTCCGTCCCCAGTGCACCAAAGCCTTCCTTTAGGCCAATGCTAAATTCTAATTCTAGCCAGAATTCTGCTGGGGTTTTTTTGAATAAAAGTGCATTCAGGGTGTATGGAAATGACCAGACAGGTCCAAAATCATGGAGAGTGAAGTGTGCTTATGGCTTATAATCATTCCGTCTGTGATAAAACTGTTGAGTACAATCTATCTGTATCTATACAAGTGCACTCACGTGTGTACAGGTGCTTAAATATAGCTCTGGGAGTAAAACAGATTTCCGAGTTCCTGAGTCTCAGGGACTGTGACTAAGCCTGTGCTGTCTTTGTGTTGAAAGCTTTCTTGGATGGGAAGAGTCTTGGTTAAGCTTTTGTACAGCATGTAGCACAGACTTATTAGTGGCCAGTCAGGCACTACCCAGTGTAATCTAGATGGATATATTCTGTCAAAAGCACAGTTGAGATAATTTAGGAGAGGTTCCCTTTAAATATAGAGACAGGAGGTAAGATTTTGGAACAAGGTTCTTATAAGGGGAAAGAGATAACAGACCTTAAATGTGTTCAGGAAAAATCTCTGTATGCTGTATCCAGCCCAAATGTTTGTGATCTGACTCACCTTCTCCATGTACATGTCAAACATGGGCAAGAGAGCTAAAAAGCTTGCTTTGGCCAGTTGTTGTACAGAGGGCTTGGATCTCATTTGTGACTTGCAGGGGGTATTTCCTCCCCTATGGCTTGGTTTGTGTGTCCCAAGCAGCGATGAGCCCCCACACCTCCTACTGCAGGGTGTTCTCAAATGGCAGGAGAGAAGGTGGTTGCACTGAGATTCAGAAGCATGAATAAAGGAAGTATTCTAGCAATAGAAAAAGAGAATCACAGAATCAACTAGGTTGGAAAGGACCTTGAAGATAATCTAGTCCAACTGTTAACCTAGCACTGACAGTTCCCAACTACACCATATCCCTCAGTGCTATGTCGACAATCAGACAAATTTTTGACAAATCAGACAAAAAAACCAAAACAGGTTGTCTTTTTTTGATCTTAGAAATTTTTTACTCTGATTTGAAAATTCTTTTTTTCTCCTTTAAAAACAGTTTTATTCCTGTGATGTCAGCTTAACTAGAAATGAATAACATTGCAACTGCTGTAAGTTCCTAAGACCATTGTTCCTATGACCTCTGAGTGCCTCTTTCAAAATAATCTTCTGAAATACATCTGTTTCTGTCTCGTTACTTTCAGCTATTTTGTCTTTACATACAGAGGTTTAAAACATATGTCTGTGTATGTATGTCTAAGCAGTAGATACATCTGAAGAATCTTTTAGTATGAAATTATAATTAAGCTATTGTATGTCTTTTGGATTTGAGGAATATCTGTGTATCACACTGATAAATCAAAAATATCTTCCAAATCATAGAATGGTTTGGGTTGGAAGGGACCTTAAAGATCATCTAGTTCCAACCCCCTGCCATGGGCAGGAACACCTCCCTCCAGACCAGATTGCTCAAAGTGCCATCCAACGTGGCCTTGAACACTGCCAGGGAGGGGGCGGCCACAGCTTCTCTGGGCAACCTGTGCCAGTGTCTCACCACCCTCGCCAAAAAGAATTTCTTCCTTAGATCTAATCTAAATCTTCCCTCTTTCACTTGTCCTGTCACTACACTCCCTGATGAAGAATACCTGTCTTTCCTTTAGCCCCCTTTAAGTACCTGAGCCTTCTCTTCTCTACATTGAACAACCCTAACTTCCCCAACCTGTAATGCAGCTGGAAATGTCAAAATTTTTTAGCCTTCTGACTACTGAAGTGCTAAGGACCACTGCAGCCACAGATCACCTCAGCCTTTCTCTGCATGGCACCTGGTACTTGCACAATTTGTTTAGTAACTACCTCTTCAGGATTGTAGTATTCAAACCTTGTTAAGTCCTGAAATGGTGATTATGTATGCTTACCAGTTGTAACTACCTTTGGAAGCCTGTCAGCTTCCAATTTTTGTAAGATTTCTGTCCTGCTCTTGTTTTTCATGAACCCTGCCTTGGGGCATGTGGAGAAGCTGAGGTGATCTCTTCAGGGCTGCCCTGGCACCACTGCATTCCACAACTAGCACTGGGATTGCCATTTCCTTGGGGGTTTCTGACTATCTGTATTTCTCTCTTGACATTCTTTCCCCTAATGCTTTAATGGGCCTTTAGGAAGTTCTAGTTTATAAGCATCAAACTCAATATAATGTCCATGCATTTTGTAATTGTTTTGTAAATAATAATCTTATTTCCTGTGTAATCTCTGAAAATTATTTTGATGGATTACTGAAAACAGTTGTTCATCAAAATCATGGTATCAGCATCTTCTGGAGCACAGCTCATTGTGGAGTTTATTGTCAAGGCACCAGATATGATCAGCTTTATTGCACGAGCTGTGTTTTATTTTGGAGGAAGGCTGGAGATATAGCCATTTTTCAGTTTAAAGTACTTTAGTAAGTCACTTTTGTGCTAACAGACAGTGAATCATCTTGAGAACAGAGCAACAGTATTTCTGAGAAGAATTATTTGTTGGGTCTTTCTTGACTGATTTCTGGGGAACCAAATATGACAGATCATCTCAGATAATAGTTTGCTTTGGTTCTCAAGATTTTGGCCCACAAAAATGGTATCATTTCTGGCAACACTTCTTATTTTCTTCAGAATTTCTACAGGAAGGTTTCTGAGAACAGCTGAGCAGACTGATGAATCCTTCTCAAATAGAAGAGATGAGGATGCCTAGGATGAACAGAAACAAAGAAGCCCAGAGGTAGGAAGAGATATCTTAAGTCATGGTGGTTCCTAGGTTGAATGCATGCAGGACATGTGAATTCCTCCTCTCACCACTTTCTGAGGTTATTCAGCTAACCACATAAGGTGCTGAGGACAGTTTAAGTAGATGTGGAGTTCAGACCAGCTTTCCGAGGAGAAGTAAAAAGAAGAATGAGGAAAAGAGAAGTTTTGAGTAAGGGTGTTTGCATTTTGTTATATATTCCTGCTGCTTTAGAGGAGATAGGGGAAATGTGAAAAGAAGGTGAAGATGTACTGAAATGAGGAGGGAAAAAGAGTGAAGTGATAATTTCTTTCACAGTTTAGACCTAAAGCTTGATAGGAGCACTAATCCAAATCCGAGAGGAGGATTGAAAGACCTATGTGTCTCAGCTATTTCTCCGTCCAGTTCAATGAAACTGTGGTGACAGCTTCTCTTAGTTATTAAGTGGTTAGCAGTTCTGTCCCAAGTGATCTTGGTCCTGCTGCACAAGAATAATTCATGATGGCTTGTGTGTTTGCAGCCAGCCCCTCCTTGCTTACCAGCTGTATGCACAGGAATGGGCTGAATTAGTGGAAAGCTCTAAACAGTGGCTTTTATTTCACTGCTTGGAGATTTTCGTGTTGGAGAAAAGCTCCTGAAGGGCAGAGTCAGAGCTCAGGGTTTGTGTCAGCAGGGAGAACCATTCCACTCCTAAGCAGAGATACCAACTTCATATAGGGTTTTCATGAAACCCATGTTACATATGCTGTAGTGAAGGGTCTGGTCTGCTGGGAACAGCAAGGGCTTGGGCTCTAGTTGTTTCTGTGGTTTTCTGAATCCATAGAAGAAACGAGTGTGTTCTCACATTTTCCTTCTCTGAAAAGCAAATCCCTCTGCTGTGGTGAGGAAGGAATGGAGGTTAGAGGCAAAGATGAAGGAGCCTTTCATTCAACAGAGAAGGCTTTGTTGATGTACAACACATACCTGGTGATTTAGCTGCTGAGACCTCTCTTGACTTGCTTTGAACAGGGGCCCTTGTTACAGAACCTGTTCTCCATCTCT